CACAAGCTCCATTTCAAGTCTGGCTCAAATTCAGCAGTCTTGGAATTATAAAATCATTCAGGTAGGAAAATACCCTTTAGATAATTGAGTCCAGCTGTTGAAAACACCATTAAACAACTGTCACAGCTGGCACACTACAAACTCATCAGGCTACAACACAGTCCGTCAGCAGAAATGTTTGTGGTTTAATATCGTGCTGGCTGACTACCATGTTTGAGTCATTTAGATACCTCCTTAAGTAGGGATCAATACATTTAAATTAAATTCTAGCAAGGTAATCCACTTGAATACAAAGCAGGCATTTTGAACCCATTCAGAAACCCCACTATGTCTTCTCACTAAGCTCTGCTTATTACAGGTAAATATTTATAGACATATAACCTAGTTTCTAATTAGAAGAAATTCCTCCTTCCAGAATAATTTTCAAGAAGTCTTGTTAATTTGTCCATCATCCCTGCTTCCCAGAGAAGTGTTATTTCTTTTCTGCAAACAGGAGCAAATGGAGACGAATAGATTCGCCCTCCTCCATGGCGAAGGTTCAGACTAGCTAAACCAGCCATGTAGCCTGTGTAGCTCCAAGAGTGAATTATCCAGACTTGGGTTCTCTGAGGATGTGCCCACTGTTGGTGGGGAGATCACACAGCCCAGGAGCTCCTGCAAGCTGTGGCTTGGCAGGTGCAGCTACCTGGGGTGACTGGTTACAGAAGCCTTGCGTTTATCTTCTTCCTGTAGGCATAGGCACAGCTTTCACATTAATCAGGGATTGCATTTGGGATCTCCTGGTTCCTGTTCCTGGGTAGAGTTTGCAAATCTTTAATGGGGTTTTATGCATGCTCCGTGCCCTCCAAGGCAGGTTTGTGATTCACCAGAGAGCTGTCTGGAAAAGGAGAGACAAATGACGGCAAACCACAGAGCAGGCACATGATCTTCAGCACTTCTTGTTCCCGCAGGGCTGGCTGAAGACAGCTCCAAACAACTGCCTGAAAAGCCTTGTGTGACTCCTAAGGGATGACTCTGTGCAGACACAGGGTCTCCAACCCTTTAAAGACCTGCACACTTTCAGACAGTTGTCTAGGGAGTTCTTCAGTTGGTTGTGTGGTAGGGACAAAAATTAAAAAGAGTGTACAAGCAGGTGTAATTCAGTGCCTCAAGCCTCCAAAAAGCTTTAGCATAGAGCAAGCTTTCTCCTAGGGCTTGTGTTCAGCTGCTTGCTTAGGACCAAGCAAATAGGGAACGCTCTGTCCAACAGAAGTAACAAAATGTCTTTATGCATTTTCTTTTCCTGTAAGATTATTGACCTGTTCAGAGTCTGCTGGACTGAACTGCACTGCTACTTGCTGGGATATTGTAACATCAAAAAAATAGTACAGTGAAAATAACTGCTTCACCTCTGTGGGTACAGTTCCAACCATAGTGTCACATTTGTTTTTTCCTGATGCTGTTTCTGTTGATGCATTTTGGTTGCTTTCAAGCAGTAGGCTTGGAGAGAACACTCCAGATTTTTGCCTGTTCTTAACAAAGGGTTCAGCTGATACATTAATTGAACCTTGAACATATGCAGCAATATTTTTAAGCCACAGTAGATGTTTCACCAGTAAGGTAATTCTCTCTAAAGAGGGATAAACAGTTTGCTCAGCCAGAGGAGAACTTGCTTGCTTGTGCCTTATTGCATAAATTCATGTATGTTGTACTGCCTCACAGAGTTGTGCTGAGCCTTGGTGTTCATAGCAGGACAAGTGCAATCAACATAAAAGCCATCTTTCTCCTGAGGTCTGCCTTAACCAAGCTGAAAAACCAGTCAGACCTACTTTATACTGCCCATGTCCCGTTTTTGGGAAACAAATGTGGTTGAAGACAGTGAGTCCTTAGAGGGTAGTAAAACTGCCTGCAGAAATATAATTAGAAGGGGCTTTGGTTGGGGTCTGTTCCCTGGTGCTCTCCTTACCCATGTAGCAGAGCCAGGCTTGGGATACTGTGTGGTTTCCTAGTGGTGCCCTACCACCAGGCAGGTCTGGGTGTTGATTTGCCTTGGGATGTGAGAAAACTGCCACAGGTTGGGCAAAGCCAGAGCAGCTTTATTGGGCAGGGACTGCCCAGGTCCTGCTTCTGGGAAGGGGCCATGTCTGCAAAGCATTTGTTTTCCCATCCTGAGGATTAGGGATCCAGCCTGTGGGCTTCTTTCTTTCACAGTGGGGATCTGCTTTGTTACTCTGCCAGCTCTTTCCCTAGATAGCGGCTAACCCTGGGTTTGAAAACCCCAGAATGGACAACAGAGTTCAAGTGTCTTCTTGATCTTTGTTGCTGAGGCGAAGTTGCATCATTTGCTATGAGCTGATTTCAGTTGTGCTTGGAAATTTACTGAAACAGCTACTCCAAAATAACTATTCTGAAGAGATATTTTGGTGTGGGCGCTCATATTCTTGCATAAGAGTGTAGTTTGCTGGTCTGTCTTAGTGCACCATGGAACTAAAATAATTGCTGACTAACTATTCAAGAATAGCGCTTTTGGTAGATGCCTGAGCACAGAAAAACCCACTACAAAGAACAAAGATACCCCCCATCCCACCCCGATTGCAAAGAGGATGTTCTTCTCAAGGTATTTAAATAGTTCTGTTCATTCATGTTTGTTTAGAAATGAGCAGTGGTAAGTTTTATGTTGCATGGTTTAAAATAATTCATATTCATTAACAAATGAGTAACAATTAATTTTACATTATGATGCTTAAGGGGTAGACTGGAAGGAATGGTATTTAGCTGTGGCTGTTTGGCAATTATGACCTTATATATAATAACAGACTCAATAAATTCTTGATGTGAGAGAGCACTATTAATCAACACAGAGTTAATTAACTGTGCTGCTTACTTAGGAAGTGATGTGCAGAATGGTCTGAATCTCTGCAGTGCTACAGGCTGAAAATGTTTGATTTGTCTGATACCTGCCTTGTTTACATAGAAATTTCCCTCAAAATTGATGCTGAAGAGGGAGCAACACTTCCTCCAGGTGACTGAACATTGGTCTCAAAGGTAATTTTCTTCCATGGCTCTGACACTCTGGCAGACCTAACACGGGTCACTGCATCACTTAGGCTTTCTGTCACCTTCATGTAGAAGGTGGAAGCCTTTGGATTAGTGCTGCAGTGCTGGTAATGGAAAGTGCTGTTGCATCAATGGTTTTGTTTAGGTTAATCCTATAAGACTACCAGGAAATTAGGAATCATGATGATAATTAAGAGTTATACTCCTCAACTCTAATTTAGACTATATAGGACTGGGTTTTTTTCTGTGTGTTTTTTTAATAATCTGAAATGTAGTCCAAAAATGGGAAAATGAACAAGATTCAGCACATGTTCAGAGAGCCAAGCATCCATCTCTGTACCACTCACCCCTCCACACTCCAAACAGATATTTTCATTTTCTTGATAATGTGATACTTAGAAGTCTGAAACTGTCTTGGCTTTTCGGAATGGCCATAATTTTGTTGGCTCAGTATGCATATTAATGTGAAGGATGGATTTCTAACCTGGCATTGTACATTTTAATGTATATTTTAAATTATATATGTACATTTATTTATATATGTACATTTTTATTACATTGTAGATAATCTGTCTTTTTTTGCTGTCTCTTCAACCACTTCAATAGCTGGGGTCACTGTGGACTGTCACAGAAGGGTTCAAAGGTCTGAGCCATGAGAATGCTTTAAGCTTGCTGAGAGCAGTGCCTACTAAGAGCCAGTTTGAAGAGTTTGAGTTACTCCAGTATGAGAGAAGTGAAAGAAAGCAACTGTTTTCTTGCTGCTGGAATGTGAAACCTCCTGAGTTCATATGCCCTGTTTTTATTCTTGAGGTTAATTTAACTTGGAGGTATAGCACAAACAGTCTTCTTTCTTTTCTTTTTTTTTTTTTTTTTTTTTTAAAGTGCAGTTAAGTGTAATCCTTCATATTCTGTCCTGTCTCTGCCACCTGGGCTCTTAGTCTTAATTAGAGCCTGTTTAGCAAATAGCTAATACAAGAGTGGCTTAGTATTACTACCACAAGAGATGGCAACCAAATAGGGCCAGAAATAGATGAGCAGAAACTGTATAGTCTGAAAGTGTAATGGAATGCTCTTTGCCATTTATAATGATGCAACTAATTAGAGGGGCCTGAGAGTGGGGAAGGGAAGGAGAGAGGAAGAGATTTTCACTTTAGATCTCAGGGCAGAGAAATTGATGGTTCAGCCAATCTCTTTGCAAATGGGATTTTTCTGCCGCAACCGCACAGCTTCTGTTTTTGAGACAAAGGAAAGCAGAAAATCTTAAATGATAGAAAAACAACTGTTCTTTTTTTTCCCCACTTTTTTACTACTCACTCTGGGAAACAGAAGTCAACTGTCACCTCTTCTTATTAACCCCAAAGTGTAGCTGGTGGTTATGGCCTGGCATCCCTACTTTTCCGCCCTCCCATCCAGCTCCCTCCCTGCGCGGCTGGCGTGGCTCCTGCTGGCTCTGGCAGCTCATCCTATGCTCCAGCTGCCATGCAGACAGCACGTGCAGAGAGGCTGCTTCACTTAGGTATGTAACACTTTCTCAAATTCAGCCTTGGGCCTAGTTCTCCATGAGCTGCAGGGGAGTCAATCCAGTGAATGGGCAATACTGTACTAAGCTGGTATTAATGACAGCTCTTCCATTTGAGTGCTATGACCCTTGGTCCCACACACAGATGTTTTAAGATATGCACTACGTGGTACATGTATAGATCCTTAACATATTGTTTTTTTCTATTTCTGAGTTGCTTTCAACCATGGTTTTCTTTAGAGCCATGCATGTTATTCCTTGTTTGGAGAAGCCCTCTCTCTCTTGCCCGTATATTAGTGCAATTTTTCCTTCCTCATACCTCTCGTGTTTTCAGAGTGTGGTGGAAGATGGTCTGTGCTTTCCCCTGTGCTTGTGTCACAGAGTCCAAGTACTGGACTTTACCCCCTTTTATCTTTCCAGCACAGTCTCTCTTTTCCCTTTTTTTTTTTTTGCCAGCTGCCAGAGTGTCTTCAGTGCTGTGAAGTCAGATGAAAGGTAGGAGTTAAAGCTCCCTTTGCTGCAGTCCTTCCCTTGGGTGTGCTGGTAGAAATCCCTTGGATCTCTGTTGAAGTTTCATCATCCCCCTTCATTCTTAGCTTCAGAAGAACTAGGAGTTCAGAAGTTCTAGGATCATTTTCTCCTGACACCACCAAAAAAACCCGAGCTCCGGGGAAGTACAAGCAAGAGTCATTAGTTTTCAATAGTTTTAAGTATCATATGTCATTTGTGGTTCACAATATCAGATGATTTCATGAAGAGATTTTTCTCCATTTGTTTTGACCTTATAAACAGCCCATAATTTTTTCTGTTACAACAAAATGCAAATGATTTTATGAATATGTTAGGTGTAAGTTGAAGATGATAAATAATACTAAAGATCAGTTGGTTATATGATGTAGAAGGTATACAAGTAATGGATTCAAGCAATACAAGCAATCAGAAAAAGATGAAAAATTGAAATGTAAAACACCCGTAGTAGCAGTGTGACATTTTAGACTATTTTTGAGTATGTGAAGGATGGGGAAGATGCAAGACTGGAGACAGGCAAATGTTGTGCCTATTTTAAAAGGGGGGAAGTGATGAGCCAGGGAATTAGTGTAATGCTAACACTGTGAAGTGTACAAAGCAAGTCGTTGGACAGATTTATAGATATCTGGATGATGTTAAAGTAATTAAAAAAAAGAAAACTACAGAAAAGTATGGAAACAAAAGTTAGTCCTAAAGAAGGGTTCATATCTTTACTTTTTTCTTACAAAGATTCAGAGAGGTGGGAAGGCCTGTATTATTTCAGATTCTGGAACTACAATACCATTTGTTATAGTTAATTTTTAAAAAAGCTTTAAGTATGGAGAAGTGTAGCCTGGTCCCCCAGATTTCTGCAGCAGTTGAATCTCCATGTATTTAATGGCATCCAGACTTTTTTGATAATATGAGGAGGATTGTGACGTTAAAAAGTCATAAAATGTCTTGTTCCCAGAAGTCTCTGGCATGACAGAATTTCTGTAGATTCTTAGAATCTCAGGATTTCTGAGAAGTGAAGTTTCTGCTGTTGATTTTTCTGTTCTGTTCAGGGAAATTTGGCTTGGTGCACATTTTTTGAAACTTGCAGACCACCAGCAGAAATTACCCTGGGGAGGCCTTGGACTTTTGCGAGCTGCTCCAGCCACGAGGGGAATAATAGGGAACAGTAAGTGTGCTAGGCTTGTTCCTCCTATGAGTGTGATGACAGAGGCTGACACCTGGGCAATTTTCAGCTTTTTCTAAACTGGGAAGCTGACGAAAGAACCCACTGTATCTTCACCACTCCTTTCTCTTGACTCTTCTTTGCAGACCCTTAGAAGGGAGCTCATCACTTTCTGCCGGTGATGTGGCTTTCTGATCAAGCTTTTGCCATGGCTGCAGAAAACTTGGTCAATAGTACAGGAAGAAAGAGACTTTTGGCATGGATAAAAATTACAGGATTTTGTTGCCAAGGCAAGCGATTCCAGTTTCAGCATGCAAAGAGGGAAAATATGCCATTGTCAAATTTAGTGAAAGCTGTAAAACTGAAGGAAAATAAATGTACTCTAAAATATGTAAGGAATTTGACAATGTTGGAATTTACCCAGCATTATAAGGTAGCAATTGCTTGTAGATAACTGACTCTTCATTCAGAAGCATTTTTAATCCTTAAATAGTGCACTGAAGTTGTTTTCTTGCATTCCAGTATAAATATTTCCATCATGTTACAAGATAGATGAATGAATGGAAGGCAGAGAGATAAAGTGATATTTTCTGATGAGACGGTTTTATCTTAAGAGGTCTAAAATACCGTTGTAAGCATTTTGATTCAGTTGGTATAGCTGAAGAAGGATTGAATGGAAGTTTTAATATTAGGATGTGACATGGGTGTCTTTGTATCAAATTTCCTTCTTGAAAAAGACTCTTGCTTAATGGCTTGCCAGATGAAGGAGTTAACCTCTTAAAATATTTGTTATATATTCAGATTTCTGAATATTTAATTCATCTGGCTGCAGCTAGACAAAGCAGAATTTCTGCTGCTGGTATGGATTTTAAAGGTTTGATATATTTGGCTCCTTTCTAACTTTATAATAAATTCCATCTGAAAGGAACAGTGATTAAGGAGACTTAAGAGAACAGATACCTATATACACAGCAGATTTCAGAGTACATTTACCTGTTTCTCATGACTGTAGAACATACGCTGTAATTGATTGAGAGGCCTTCAAGGTGAAGAGAGCAAAATCTAATCTTGAAAACAAAGGACAAGTTAGATGAGAAGAGGAACAGTGGAGAACGTGATTTCTGCGTGCCTCAAATACCTGGGATGGGTTATTTCGTGATTTGAGAAGCCTTAGTGGTAAGGTAGGAGCTCTCTGTGGCTGATGCCAGTTCTTTAGAACTCCGTGCTCTCAAACCCATTGTAAACATAACCTTTACCTCAGTGGGTTGGCTGGGTCTCACAGATAGATTTAATGCATTTCTTGAAAGCATTTGAGGTTGTTGATCTCTTTCCCATTCCAGTCAGCTCCTAATGAAACCACTGCAGGTGCTTGTTCCTAACAGAGGGATCTCCTGGGGAAACTGGAGTAGAGAATAGGAATGATGCACTGCCCTGTTTCCATTGGGAAGAAGCAATACAGACATCATGCTTACAGCATTTCCTTGTGCAAACGTTAGGAATTGTCTTTTCAGTGACTGTGCTGTTCCAACACAGAGTCTTTGGCATGGCTCTTCATTCTCCCCCTGAATGTAGAATGAACGTCCCATCTGGTTTTGTAAAGGTGTAGGTTTGCACACGAGCAGCCACACTTCCCTTATGTCCCTTATGCCCTGACCTATCTGCAAGCTTCCATTGCAACCAGTGATGCCAATGTTTGTAGTTCTGGGGCTGCATGGCTGAGCCCAGAACCCACTGTTCTAAAAGAAATGGTGCTGTTTCTTCCACTCTTACTGTACTGCTCCAGAGCTTGTTAAAGTCAGTGTTCACCCTTTGGAGTTATTGTCTTTGTGTTGTCAACACTTGAATCTTTCATAAAAAACTTAACACCATCTTTCCCACCTCATCCTGGCTCCAAACAGTTATTAAATTCAGTGTGTTGATCCCCTGTGACATTTCTCTCCTTATTATCAGAGTAGCTGAAACCCTTTGGCTGCCTTTGTTTTTCCCTTCCTGAACTTTGTCTTGCTCCCTTTTAAACTACCCAAAGACTGTCTCTGAAACCGTCCTATAATTATTTTCATCTGTTTACTTTCTTTGAATTTTTCTCCTGCTGTATTCTTGTCTTCTGGAACTATTTTTTGCTTTATTTTCTGCCAGCTGTGATTTTGCTTGGCTGATACTCTTGGCACCATTGCTGCCTTGCAGGGTTTCAGTAGAGAGGGGGCCTCTGCAGATGGCCTGTGGGCAAGCTGCTGTGGCCAGGGGGATCAGCTCATCACGTGTCCCTAAAACCAGCACCCAGACACAAGGTCTGGCAAGGCAGAGCCAGGTATTTTTTGTTAAATGAGGAATGTTTTGTGTGATTGCACATGTGCCAGGGATGATTTTACACCCAAGTACTTTGTGAACAGTGAAATGTCCAGATAGTTTCCCCTACTTGCTGGTTGAAATAATTTCAGCAAAGAAATTCCTCATTGAAAGTCATTCTCTATCACAGGGCCATAAAATACTGTGCCTTGTATTTTGTATTTTGTCTGGCTTTGAAGTATCTGGTGCTAAAATTTGTGTGTGAAGCACTCTGTCATGCTATTAGAAGCCACCTACATTTATAGCTGCAATTTGGTTTCTAAAAATGTTGACTATTTTATTTAAAAGAATTTATTTGGGTGTGTGGCTTAAAACAGCAATAAAGCCATATCCTGTCTCTAAAAGGTAAGTATTATTGAATGTTCAGGAATGTGTTCAATATACAGATATAAATTTAAAATTCAGTCCCTGAGTGCTGTAATAAAAGAAGTTAGGACTAAAATAGCAATCGGGCTGTGAGTTTTATTATGTCATTGCAGGAATTTCCATGAACAGTGCATAGAAGACCTGGGTTATCTGAAATTGGCTGTCCCAAAGCAGCCAGGACTCCTGCTCCTTAGTTCCTAGGAGCCAGGGAAGTGAGGATCAGTTCCCTCTGCTGGCTCAAGCATTGTCTGCCAAAGGAACTCCCAAAACTGAGTGATGCTCCAACATAGCTGCTCTAGCAAGATGTCTTACAGCTGTGTGATTTCACTTTAATTGGTCCTATCTGTTTTGTTTCTGATGTCTGTCTTCCCTCTCCTTTAAATCACAATTATTTTCCCCCTGAAGGCTGTCTTGAAAAGGTGACAGTATTTTAGTTTGCACAGTATCTCTTGCAACCTTTGGACTCTTGTAAGTAAATTTAAGCTTGATTGTGACCATGACAGCGGGCAAAGGAATTGACTTGCAGAGCACCTTGGGGCTCTTGCTGCCAGCCCTTCGACCCAGGCTGTGCCCACCTGAGGAGTGGTGCTGCATCCTGGACATCTCCATGGAATAACCTATGCCTTAACACGTGCTGTTCTGGGATTTCTGAGACCAGCTGGCCTGGCACGCTATCAGAGCATGCAGAGGCTCCTTTTTATCTGGAGGAACAAATCATGGGAAATATTGATCTTCTGAAAGACATTCATTGCTCATTTGCTTTGATTCCTCTTTCACCTTTCAAAGTGAAGATGACATGGCAGGACATAGTAATGGCTTGGAGGGCTGTCTGGGGCTTGTGGGGCCATCTGTTTTGCAGGCCTGGTATTAATTCCCTGCATATGTGTTGCTGCTCTACAATCTGTTTATACAGTATGTGCAGGTTCAGAAGAAATGTGCAGCAAGCAGAAGAAATGCATTTATCTTCTGCTGGCAGAGACTTAAAATGTGGTTGTTTGCTTGTGGGATAAGCAGAAATATCTCTTGTCAAATAATTTCCTTGAATATCACTTGCTTTTTACAATTAACCTCTCACAAAATACCTTAATGAAAACTTCCGGGCATTTTTAACTCCTAGCACAACTTATATTAGTTTTCTGTAAAGATAATGACAAATATTATTGCCATTCAGGAACTACCTTTTAGGTGTGCAGACATAAAAGCTTGGCTCCACCAAAATTTATGGACATGTTGGCATTACCTTGAGCAGACTAGCATTTCTCCCTTGGATGTTGGCTCCTGATCCTGGGAATGCTCAAGTGACAGCCTTGTTTGCGTTTCATATGTGTCTGTTTGCATGAGCTCCTTGGGCTGGACTCACTGTGCTGGTGGAGCATCTCTTGGAGGTTTCATACTGAAGTATCAATCCAGATAATTTAACACAAGTTGTATTTAGAATTTTGGAAGATCACTCCTTATTTCCAACTTGGTCTTTAATTTAGGTGTTAATGCTGGTATTGTTGAAATAGACTATTGAAATTCCATATGTCTTGAGCCTGCATGGAGACAGCACAGACAGATCCTGGTCTTGCTTTTAACTTAATTCTTGGTAATTTCCTTATGTTAACAAAGCATGCTGGAGGAGGCACCCTGATGCTGGCAGCTGGCCATAAGGCATCTTGGAGAGGGTGGAAAAGATTTGGTGGAGAGTTGGCATTTGGAATTCACCTCCTGAAAAGACCAGGGTGCCTTTTGGGATAGGCATCAGTAAATTTTTTGCTTAGTGCGTAATACCGAGAACAGATACAGAAAAGAGCTGAGTAGAGTGGTGCTGTAGTGGCACATAAAACATTGCTCTGCTTTTCAGCTGGATTCTCTTGGGATGTGCTTCATTGTGGGGGCTGTGCTTGGCCTCCATGCCTAAGTGGGCGCATGGTGACAATCATGGGGTGGCCAAGCACCCAGAGCTCTTGTTCTGGCTGTAGCCCTGGCTCAGTGCTGTGACCAGCCTCAGCTGTGACCTGCTGTGGTGGCTGCTGTGTTGTGGGATGTTCAGGAGATGTCCCTGCTCTCAGAGGTGTTTGGTACCTTCTGTAGGTGCCCTGCCAGGGGCAGGTTTTGTCACAACACTTACAGGTACAGCCTTGCCACATTGCCCCGTGCCTACATCCCGATGGGCTGCCTCTCCTTCCCAAGCCACAGGTGTTTTGCTCCTGTGCTCCAGGTATTTCCATGCTGGTGCCATGGCTGTGATCAAGGTGTCCTCCACTTCTGTGTCGAACAGCTCCTACCAGAAGGAAAAAAAAAAACTT